CCCCACTACAATTGTATTAGTGCATATATGACTTTTCATGTCTGTTAGTATTTCTTTTATATAGTTGGGTGCACTAGTGTTTGGTGGATAGATATTTATGATTGTCATCTCTTCCTGTTGGATTGTTCCCTTTTCAAGGATGTAGTGTCCTTTGTCTCTCTTCATCAGTGTTGTTTTGAAATCTACTTGATCTACAAAGAGGAGAGCTACTGCTGCTTTTTTTCGTTTCCTGTCACATGGAGTGTTATTTTCCACCCTTTAACTTTCAGTCTATGAGTTTCTTTTGAATTAAATATGTTTCTTGTATGCAGCATATTGTTGGATCTTGCTTCTTCACCCATTCGGCCAGTCTATTTCTTTTGATTAGTGAATTGAGACCATTAATATTAATGATTGTAAATCATACATATTGATTTATCATTGTCATGACTTTTTCTTCTTGTTGGATTCTCCTCCTTTGTGTTTAATTTCTTGTTGTGCCCAATGGATTCATTCTGCTGTGCTTCCTGAGGTTGTGATCTTCCTTGTCTTTTCCTAGGATATTGTCTAAAATTTCTTAGAGTGCTGGTTTGGTATTCGTGAAGTTCCTCAAGTGTTCTTTGTCTTGAAAGTATCTTATTTCTCCATCAATTTTGAATGATAATTTTGCAGGGTACATCAATCTCCGTTGGAGGCTGTTTTCCTTTAGGGCTTGAAATATGTCACTCCAAGCTCTTCTTGCCTTGAGGGTTTGTGTTGAGAAGTCTGCTGTGATTCTGATGGGTTTTCCTTTGTATGTGATTTTTTTTTCTCTAACTACTCATAGAATTTTGTTTTTCTGTTGGGCTTCTGGAATCTTAACTATTACATGTCTATGTGTAGATTTTTTTTTATTAAGGCTAGTTGGAGTCCTATATCCCTCAGTTATCTGTATGTCAAGTTCTTTTCCCTTGCTTGGCAAGTTTTCTGTCATCACTTCTGTGCATAGTTTTTTTTTTACGTCATCTGCACTCCTGTTTCTTCACTGACTTCCATCAGTCTTATGTTATTCTTCTTTGCATTGCCTAGCAGCTGCTGGATTGCTTTCTCATGCTCCCCTACATTTTTTTTTTCAGTGGCACAAGATAGACATTTCCATTCCAAAAGTTACATACGGAGGAATACAAAGGAATGGGACCAAAACAAGACCAAAATCCAGCAAGGCAAACATTAAAGTTACACTTCCAGGATTCTCGGCAATCTGTAGCAAGTTGTGAACTCCAAAGGGCTTGGATGGCTCTTCCCCAGTAGCACTGTCAGTGGTTGTAGCTCCCAGGCTTCTTTCTTTGGCTGGCTCTGCTCCCTCTTTGCAGCTTTCCTCAGATGATCCATGTTCTTATCTTTTCCAAACTTCTGGGATCTCTACTGCACCTTTGGCTTCACACTCCCAGCTTCATACACTGCCCTCTCAGGGGCACACTGCCTAGCCTCCCAGATCTTCTGAAATCTGGGTGGAAGCCTTCCTGACCCCACAGTTCTTGCATTCTGCATGTGCCTAAAGCCAGCACCACATGGATGATGCCAAGGTCTGCTGTCAGCTGGAGCAGTAGCCAGGCTTCCTTCTCTCTTGGCTATAGGGGTCCAGTGCCAATGAACCAAATTCCAAGGAACAACTTCCCTAGGATGCCACCATTCTGGAACATGGTGCTCTGGGGCTCTCTTCTCAAAGTAAAGTCTTTCACTTTTACAATTTTGAGGCTGCAAAGGCTGGAGTAAAGCTAAGACTTTTCTTCTTCTTTTTTTTTTTCTGGTACCGGGGATCGAACTTGGGTCTTTGCACTTGCGTGGCAGGCGGCGAAACCACTGAGCTAAATCCCCGGCCTCCCCTACATTTTTAAAGACATTTTTCTTTTCCTGGTCACTAATTGCAATTTTATCTTCTATATCTGAAATTCTGTCCACACATTGGCTCATTCTTCTGCATAGACTTTCAATGGAATTTTCAATCTCCTGGAAATCTATTTGCATCTGTTTTATGGATTCCATTTGTTTCCTATGTTGGGATTCCATCGTGTTCCTCAGCTTCTCCGTGTTTTTTATCTGTGTCCTCTCTAGATTTATTAATCATGTCTTGCACTACAGGCACAATCTCTACTATTATCTGAGAAATCATTTCTGATTTAATTTTTTTCCAGATCCTCTTTTGTTGCCAGTTCAGGGAGTCCAGGTGGTTGAGTATCAGAGTGTTCCATCTTATTTCCCTTTGGGGTTGCTGTAGGTGATCTGGAAGTCTGGTTTTGATGCTTGTTTTCATGTCTTCTCATTTCAACACGGGGTGGGGGGTGCTGCTGGCACCTGTGTGGCTCAACTCCTCTTCGCTGGGAGCAATGCTATGGCAGCCAGGAAGTGTCCTCCTCTGTGCTGGGAGTGGTGCTAAGGTGGTCTGGAAGCCTCCTCCTCTGCACTAGGAGTGGTGCTATGGTGGTCCTGAAGCCTCCTCCTCTTTACTGGGATTGGTGTTATGGCCAAATGGGCTTCTTACATCACAAAAACTCTTTGAGGCATGTAGAAGAGTGGTTTGCTATGTTTTCTAGACCCTAACTGGCATCTTTTATTTTACAGGCATTTTCTGCTTGGCTGAATTTGGGCTTTGAAATCTTAAAGCACAGTTGAGTGTGGAATCTTCTTAGGCATTGTTTCTTTAAAGGATGGTGGCTTAAAAATAACTAGATATCATAATATACAAAACAAACCTGTTTGTGTGTTATCCTATGGCATATACAGTTGTGCTGGTACTAAAATTGGGTTTCTGTAAAAAGTGCATAACAGACTGGATCTCCATACATGGAGAGGTAATGATGATCAAAGACCAGATCAAGTCATTCTCTTCCTAAGAGAAGGAATTATAAGAATTCTGTCTGTTCTATTCAAAGAGAATCTCAGTAAATCAAAGCCAATCAAGAGCCCAAGCACTTATTTTCAAATAACTTTTTAAGTACATGTAAAGACACACTTCATGTACTCTGTGCTCTTTGTTCTTAAAGTTCTCTGTGTGCTGTCAGTGATCCTTTGAAATTTGGAAACCAATTGTGCCTCCTGAAACACTTGTTATACAGTACAGAAAATGAACTTCTTAAAGCATCTTATACTTATGACCATCCTCTCACAATATCAAACCACAGTATGGCAGGCTAATTTTTAACCTATTCATTTAAGACTAGTTTGGACTTTCTTTTTAATTTCCTTCCTAACCAGAAGACACTCTTGGGATAATTCCTCATGAAAGCCATTTGTCAAGGGAAATATGAATTCTGCATCAGATCTAGGTTGCAAACACCCCCTACACACACACACACACACACACACACACACACACACACACACACACACACACATCACCACCTTGGAGAAGAAAAGGCAAAGTAATTTGTTGAAAATATCTATTGATATGCTTGGAAGGTTTACCTTTTATTTTTTGAAGTGTTTATTTTTCTCTCATATGGCTTTTTAGAGCTTTATCCTTTAGGAAATTGGAATTCAGAGGATTGCAAAAACTTTTAAAGCTAGGAGAGAACTTGGAAGTCATTCAGGTCAACATTTGATTTTGAGATGAGAAAACTGAGCAGAGCTGGGATAGGGTGAAGTAAATGGATTACATGGTGTAGAATGGAAGGAAGAACTTGCTTCTCATTGCAGATGGACCCTCTACTTGCCCTAGGCTGGATACTTGGTATCTTAGACCTTAGACCTTCTGGTTGACTCTAGTCATGGCCCTGAACCTTGGACCCATGGAGTTAAATGGTTGGACCAAGGTCATCTATCTCATCAATTCAGTGATGTTTCTCTTATCCCAAGTTACTGCCCTGACATTTGAAAATGTTATTGGATTTAAGGGAGAGGATTAGGTAGGCTTTTTTTCTAAATAATCTTCTAAGCAAGAATATTGTTGCATTGTGGTGGTGCTATTTCCTTCTCTCAGCTTCTCATGAATTATTAATTCTCTTCCACAAGGAATTAGATGAACCAGCTTCAGAGAACCTGCCAGAGACTCAGCCTATTCCTTCCCTGGATCTCAATGAACTTGAGTCAAGCATAGAGGACAACATAGTTGACCTTGGATATTATGGTATGTGTTTGCATCAGCTGTCAGCTGTCTTGTCTGCCTCTGTAGTGGTCCTGTCTGACCTCTGAATGTGTGTGACCACCTGCCATCAGTTTGCCAGAGTTGGGCTGTAATCATTATGAAAAGCAGAGAAATTAAGGGTTTTTCTGTCCTCTATCATCATCTCCTCTCTTCTACTTCTTCCTCTTTGTCTTTTTTCTTTGCTTCATCTTCCTCTTCCTTCTTCTCATCTTCCTTCTATATTTTTGCAGTACTGGGGATTGAATCTAGGGCTTTCACGCTGAGCTATTCCCTCAGCCCTTTATTTATCTTTTGAGACAGAGTCTGGTAAAGTTGTGCAGGCTGGGCTAGAACTTGCATCTCCCTGGCTTAGCTTCCCAGAATGCTGGGATTCCAGGCATTCTGTATCTTTGTAGTAATAGGGATAAGTTGGAAGCTCACTTTGTGAGGGGTTCTTCCCAGTGGGTTAAATCAGAGTGTCATTAACATAACTCTGAAACAGTGTAGGACTGACTGTGCATGCTGTGAAGGACTGTTGCCCTCCCCTGTAAATAGTTTCTGTAGCCCTCATAAATTTAAACTGAAGAAATGAAGCCATTCTGAACTATTCAGACTTGCAATCATTGTCAGAAAATTAAATTCCTCAGAGCTGTCACCCAACTGGAGGTGTACATCATCATCTAATGGTTAAATGCATTAATTTTGGGGGTAAATAAACTGTCCCCATAGGGAAACCTCTGGCAACTTAGTCTCTCTAGGTCCTAGTTTCTTGATCCATGAAACAAGAATAATAATAACTCCTCTAAAGGTCATTATAAAGAGCCAGTGGGATGAGGCATTTCAGAATGATCTTAGCTCAGTGCCCAGCACAATGGGAGAACTGAAGAAAAAGAAGCACTTTGGAAGAAGTTTACGCATGTGGGGACTTTTCATTCTTGTTCTCCTGTATCCCCAGTGCCTAGAATAAGGTTCCAGGAATATTATAAGCACACAGTAAATATTTCATGACTGAATGAATGAGTGGATGAAGAAAGGAATGAATGACATGTTTGTCCAGACCTGGGAGAAGTGGATGCCAAGACAACACTAAAATACATGATTATTTTCAGGGAAACTACCTTCATGGAAAGAAATAGGGAAGGAGCATTTGGTAAAATTTTGTTTTTGTTTGCAAACTCTGCATTGGGTGATAAACATGACCGTGGCCATCTTTCCCACACAAACACAAACATGGCCATCTTTTCCAAAATTGCAGAACAAAATTCATGAACCAAAGCTACCAAAACACACAACAATGTGAATAAATATTTTTAAAATTATGCTAAGTGAAAGAAGCCTCACATGAAAGTTTAGACTGAATGGCCCCATTTCTCTTGTCAAAGCTAACCAAAAGAAGAAACAAATCTCCAAACAAAAAGGTTTTATCTGAGATTAATATAGAAATCAGAATTGCAATCTGGGATGCACATGGACACCAAGATGGCCTTTCTAATGTTTAAAGAATAAAGGAAAAGTTGTTTCTATTAGGACAAAGAAATCTATACAAGTTATTAGGGGAAAAGGTTTATTGATACTTTCAGGGCTTAAGGAAACTGGCAAGCTTTGATTGGCAAGTGGCAGTAGTTACCTTGTGAATTTAGTCTTAAGGCCACAGTTGACAGTTTCATCATCAGTTTCTAAGAAAATAGTCTTAAAGATAAAGTAGACCATGTGGTAGAATTGGCCGTGTGGGGCACTGTCTGCAACAATTGTTTGCCACTTGAGCATTTTCTCCCTGTGGCTTCTCAGTTCTATTTTAGATGGTATGACAAGAATGCGTTCATTTTTATACTCAATTTTCTATATAAAGGTCTAAACCAGAAGTATTTCTTTACAGTGATAGAAATGAGGCTTTTGGTTGCTGAGGATGATAGTGTTAGCAGTGGGAATTGACTCTAGAAGGGCATAGGGAATTTTTGGTGGTATTGGAAAAGCTTAATATCTTGATTGTGGTGATGGTTACCCAGATTTATGTATTTGTCAAAACTCATTGAACTCTGCACTTTAAATCAGTGCATTTTATTTTCTATAAATAAAGTTGATAAATAGAACATTGTTAAGACATATAAGAAAAAGGAAGAAAGAAAATTATCACAAGTAATGCCTACTTATGTCTTTATTTTTGATAATGAATCGAAAGAGATTTGGATGAAGTCACAAAAATAGAAAATAACTGGGATGATTGCTAGTTGGGATTCCAAGTTCTTAGTCCAGAAAATGATGCTGGGGTTTGCGGTTTTCTTCTAATGGCAACCAACATTGCCATCTACAGCATTGTCATCTGCAAGGTGTGTTAGTGCAGTTTTGAGGACTTCTCTCAGGAGGAAAACTGACTGGAGATGAGGGAACAGGATCTTTGACTCCTCTCTCCTCACTCTTTAGAGTTGGAAGGCTCACATTTGAATAGCAGGAAACTCTGCCAATAAATATAAAAGGACCTAAGGCCAACTAAACAAAACCCAGATGCCAAAACCCAACTTTTTATGGAAAAGCTGGTGGAGCTGTCTGGCTCGTTAGCCCTCAGAAAAGATCAAATGCCATTTGTTAGCCCACATTCCAGATTTCCCATCATTTTTAGAACTTCCAATGTCTTTGAAACTTGATTTATAAACACAGATTGATGGTGGTTTTATTCCATATTTTACACATAGCTCATTTGTGCTTTGTGATAGTGTTTCTACCTGACTCTGATATTTACACTAATTTTCTGAGTTCTAGAGGATAACTACAATGAATTTAATATTGAGTAAAAATGTGATAATTCTCCACATTTAAAAATTTAGAGCATTCCTTTGGCATGACAAGTCTTTAATTGAAATTTAGAAGATTATATCCAGTTTGAAAAGTTAAAGTGGATGCAGTTAACACTTGCCCATCTAGCCACTGTCCTGAGGTAGCCTTAGCAAGCCCAATAGGAACAGGAGAATATTCAATCCCCAGAATGTCAGATATCCATAGGGAAAATCAGTATCCATGGACATCTAATGTGTGACCCTGTGATCTATCCTTAGCTAAATATAAATTACATGTAGTTATTAAACTAAGGGCCATACTGGTAAGGCACAAAACATCATTAAACAGCCTTGCCTTACCCATTATGGTTCAAGTTTGGAGTGAATCAGTTAAGCAGAAAACTAAATAACCATTAATCAGGCTTTAAGATAGAGTAAAACATACATATAATAAAGTAAAATTTCATATCATGTGTGTTTCAGAATGTGTTTTGGATGTCCTGTGGTATGGTTTTCCACACATCCAAGTCTCACAGTTGTGATCAGGGGTAATGTGCTTGCTACATGGAGAGCATCATCATGATACCCAAAGGCAGCTAAATAGCCATAAGACTCAGGAAGGAGAATGATTTAGATCTGTGTTTGAGTCTTGACTTTCCTATGTGCTAATGTGGAGACACCAAGCAAGACATTAATTTCTCTGCAGTTTTAAAATTTTTTAGCCACAAAATGGAGTTCATAATACCAACCTCAGAATTTTAGTGTATTGAATGAGATAATACACACTAGATGGTTGTGACTGTACCTGGATCAATTAACAATAGGACCTGTTATTACCAAGCCAGAAGCAAAATATTTAGATGGAATTTACTGTCTCTTGTCTACCTGTTGGAACCTAACTCATCTTTTAAGACCTGGATCTAAGTCTTCTTTTCTGGTTTGACCATTTCCTGAGGTCCCTCACCAGTATTCCTTGATTATCTTCAATAATTGTCTTTTTCCTTTATAAGAACCCCCACCTCTTGTGGCCTTAACATACCATGATTTGTACCTGACTCGTGCCCTAACCTGGGTTCTAAAATTGAGATATCTTTGTTAACAAACCTTTTGAAAATCATTATAACAAGTAGTTATTTGTAAAAATTATAGATACAGGATAAGTAAATAAAACTTAAAAGAAAAATCTGTCCAAATCTTACTGAAGTGAGTACTTGTACTTTAAGACTGATATTATTTGAATGTTTTCCTCCAAAATCAGGTGTTGTCAATGTTTGAAGGTGAGAACACTAGTTGGTGATTAGTTGATGGGGACTCCTTCCTTCCTCATGAATGCAAGTACGAGCCCTTATAAAAGAGCTAGATGAACTAGTTTGTCACGCTTGCCTTTCACCTCTGGAAAGTGTACCAATGAGGTGCAATCTAGGAAGCACAGAGAAACTTACCAGATCTTTGATGTTAGACTTGCAAACCTCTATAACTGTTGAGAAATTAATATCTATCCTTTGTCAACTACCAAGTCTATGATGTCTTGTTATAGCAGCACAAATGGACTAAGAAAAAATAAAACCTGTAATGACAGTTTCTTATGCAGATTTATGGAGCGTTATATCTCACACATCTTAGGTGAAAGTGCTCTAAGTTGGATTGCACAACTCAGAGACAGTTGTGACAAGGACTCATGTCTGCATGCATATGAGGAGTTTGAACAATTATGCTCCTGATATTTCAGAGTGGGGGAAAAACAGTGTCTCTAAATATGTTACTCTAAATTTGCTAATAAACTAACAAAATATTGTACATAAACATTTATCTTTTTAAGTTATATCCTCATTACTTTGACATTCAGGTTTGATGTAGTTAGAAAATAGGGCAATATTTTAGGTTTTCTGTTTCCTTACAACTAGACATATACTGTACTTTATCCAGCCTAAAATATACATTTTTGTGCACACATTAATGTTAACGACATTGAGGTGCATCAAAATAGATGTCATCTTAAATTTCATGTGCAGTGGATTTTTTGGCTGTACATAATGTGATGGTGCACCTTAAAACTGGTAGTGTCTCTGATTCAGTAAGATAAAATATGGTATTTCCCACTTATATTGTTCAAACCAGGCTAGTCTTGCAATTGTGACAAAAAAAAAACCCTATTACTGTAGATAATAAGGGTTTACATCTCATTCCCATTAAGTCTTATGTTGGAGAGAAATCTCTTCAGGGTGACTTTAC